TTTAAAATTAAATTTTAATTTGCGTCAAGTGAATTATGTGAGTTTATCCCTTTGCGATTTGATTAGAAAATGATTAGCAGATTTTTGGTGGGGTTGAAAATGTTAGTATAGGTTACTTACGTGGGTGACAAGAAACACTATGGGGGTAGGAGTAAACGGGCACTGATCACTTTAACAATAACATAACTGCTCTTTAAAAATAGTCTAATTTCTCAGTACAAACATCACATCATTGCTGGTGCCATTGAATTTCAAACTACCTCCAAGTTATCTAATATGAGGAAAAACATACTCTTTAAAGGAAGTCATGTCAGACTACTGAACTAAGTTCATGTTTACAGCTAAAAGGAAAATGTTTGCTGTCAATCAAATGTAGCAATGAAGGGAAAAGTGTTCTCCCAAGAAAAACAGCCATGGATTTAAAACTTGCATCACCCTCATAATACATTCTTTATTAAAAAACAAAAATGCCTTATAACTGGCTCAAATGCTATTACCCAGTAGTCTGAAATACTGAAATGTGCTTTCTATGCTTCCACATTCAGTGTCATGTCAGAGGACAATCAGTAAATATCAAGTGCAAAAATGTGTTCTGTTTGTGCATACTGGTATCTAAAATCAAACTTGCATACCATATTTCTATTAAAATAATAATGCCTGAAAGGAAGCTTAAGAAAAGAAGTGTGCTAAAAAATAGATTTCAGAGTGGACGTTTTTCACAGATAATAGATACATACAATCGTCATATTCAAAGATTAAATCGCAAAACTAAGGAATGCAATCAGACTATTGCCCTTTGACTAAGGGATAAAATATTGGAGCAGAAACAACAGAGTAACGATTGATCAAATTGGCATCTGAATGGTTGCAATGGACATCTGCTTGTTAGGGTGAAGATTTGCAATTGTGATTTTTCCATTAAGAAATAGAGTGGGTGTAGGAATCTTGAGAAAGGGTGAGGGGTCATAAAGATGGCATCTCAACTTCCAAAAGAAGGCCAGAACAAAAACCTTGTATCTCACTCCATGCCCATTATAAAACATCTTTTTCTTTTAATGATCAGCATTTTTAGTATGGTGTTGCAATTTATTTCATAGTCAGAACATGAAAAGTTTGAGACAGGAGTGAAATGAATTGAGAGCACAGGTGAAGAGGCCAAGAGCAAAATTTAAAGTAATAAATGGAAGCTACATAAATAATAACATTTTGTTTTCAGTATGACAACTACAAAAGAACCATTAGAGATGGATATTATTCAGAAGTCATTGATGCAACACTTCCAACATTCACTCAAGAAAGAGGTAATAACCATGGATGAGAGAATTGATAATATAGTATCCAATCATAGAAAGGGTGATAAAAGTGAATCGAGAAATTAAAGACTGATAACTCAGATTATTATTAGTATTAATAGTATACTATTACATGTATAAGGTTATGGAAATTATTTTTAAAGCTAAACTAGAGGATGACCTAGAATATATGAAAATCAGAAACTAGGGAATAGCCGGTACGGATTTAGAAAAGGTAGGTCTTCTCTAACCAGTCTGTTAGAGATCTTTGAACAAGCAGCAGGAGTTATTGATATACACATATTGTGATATGGTTATCTCATATTTTCAGAAGACTTTTAATAAAGCTCCTCATAAAAGACTGTTTTTCAAATCAGGCAGTAGGCCACAAAAACATAGTGTCTGGGTTGATATTTAGTTAACAGAGAATACAGTTCATGGGTGAATACTCAAACTGAGGTGATGCAATTAGTGGAAGTATGGAAAAAGCTACCCAGCTACAGTATGTTGTTGAAGATTATACCTGGGATTTTTTTAGAGAATCCCTGGATGAGATACTTGCCTTAATTAGCTACAAACTACAAAAAAAAACTAAATGGGCCAAATTGCCTCCTCTCATTTGTAAGTTTTCCTATGTGCTTATAATGTATTGCCTCACTGATAGCAGTATTACCTGATAGCTATGTTTCCAGTATCTTTTCAATAGGCAAGTTGTTTTTTCAGGTAACTGAAACCAGGTAACTATTATGGAAACAACGGGTGTCTACCAAATGCTGTTTTAAAAAGAATCTAAAAGGAAAATGTAATGGTACAAACATTTTCACAGCAGAAAACAAAGACTAAGCTGAAACTATGAGAGACATTTAGGGTGTGGGGTCAAGCATTGGATCCTTCCTGGATACAGACTCCTGTTGATTCAGTATCAAGCCAACAACAGCCTGAGACTAAAGTTAAAGTGATGCCATCAGATAATACGTATTTGAATAATTATAATATCTACTTCACCTGTTCATTGCATTATGATTCTACCATAACCTCTTTGTTTGCAAACTACATAAATAAAGATGTAGGACCATGGGAAGCTCTTAATATATAAACTTATTTCTAAACCCAAGAAAAATGTAGTCATTCTCATAATATTTAGGATTAAGTAATTTAAATCTTGAAGTGGTTTTATTTAGTGTCCAAAGTATGTTAATTGATCACAAATGGACATTACTAGCAGCTTTTGGCTTTAAATCTAAGTGAAGCAATGATGATGTAAACCTTTTATTTTTTCAGAACTTCTACAAGTGCTGCAATTTCCATGGTTGTGACAATGACATATGGGGATACAAACCATAAAAATATGCATAGTGTAAGCTTTTTAAAATAAAATTCTAGCATCAGTGATACTTTCAATACCCACACACTGTTACCTATAAAGTATATAACTGCATTCATTCCAAAATGTAATACACCTAATCAGCTAAAGGTGATTAAAATAATTTTGTACTGCTAATAATTTGTACCACCATCATAGTAGGTGCTTTTTCATTCCACATCATTGTTGTTGATTTCCTTTTCTGTCTAGAAAAGACAAGACAAGATCTTTCTAGAAAGTACTTTAAAATCTGATAGAGGAAATGAAAATATGCTACATAACATTTGTCAATGTTGTAAGATTTAAAATAGCAGTTATATAACATAAAACAACAATAACAGTTTCCATAATTACTGTATAAATACTGTATTCAGTGTACCCTAACTGAAAAAAGGAATTACAGCTAAAGCGCCTATCATATCCATATACTGTAGATATACTGTACTGTATATATTCCCTGCTATGATCAAATGTACCTTATAACGACTGCATACATTCAGGTGTAAAGATCTAATTACAGTTGTAGGTGCCAAAGAATGCTGGATATAATGCTCTAACATTCATCATAAATTAATGGTGATGTTGGACACTTCGTGGCCATTTTTAAAATTGCCGAGAAACAAAGAGTTAAGGATCTTAATTCCTCTGAAGTCTCTTGTCATTGGTTGTAGCTCCTTCTAGTGGACAACTTAGATTGCTACAGAATCATTTATTAACAAGACTGAATTATAAAGACTGAAACGTAGGGAAAAAAAACTTCATTGACTGAAATAAAAAATATTTTCTGTATTATTATTAAACCGAATAGAAAAGATTCAAGAGTATTGCATTTGCCAGGGTGAGGATGAATACAAGAAAAGCTACTGTAAAAATAAATTGTCCACAACAACTTTACCTAATTTGAATTTTGTGATTTTTAATTGTGAAATCTAATATCGGACTTAAAACGAATGCCTTCAATTTACACAAAGAACAACATATTTCATCTAGGAAGGCCAAAATTCGAAAATTCTCAAAGGCCAGTTCCGTACGCCAGTGAATTCTGCAGATAAACAGAATTTTGGTGTTGTGGTATAATTTGCACGGGCAACACGTAAAAATAAAAACAATGAAAAATATGTCAGCTTCTCTCCCAGTTTAAAGAGCACATTTCTACCTTTGTGTTGAGAACGGTGTCCAATAGTTAGGACAGGTGCAAGCTTTATAACGAGTCTATTAATAGAAAGAAATGGGCATTGACAGCCCTGTTATCTAAATACAAAACAGGGACCTTAGCAGGGGACGCATGTGCACCAGAATCTAAGGCCTGCATAGACTGGTTTTGGGGTTACATTAAAAGCTGATTAATGTATTCAAATTCACAAGTAAAAACAATACAGATGAGAAGTCTATTGTCAAACATCAATGTTGATGACGGTGGAAATTACTATCATTTATTTACATACGGAAATACATACGGTGATTCAAACGGAAAAATGAAATGTACAGAGGTTAAAGTTCCAGGTAATTTAAATAGGTTGTTCACAATTCATCCTGATTTACGTCATATGTGAATTATCTACCAAAACGGAAATACCATATGTCAATTAAAAACACGAATACTATTTTTTATAGTTCTTAATAAAAACTGTATACAATTTGATGGTTTAGTACTATTCAATGTGCGCGTGCCTTTACTTGTTGATTTTGGTGAGGGTCGTATAATTATTTCGACTAATTTTAACGATTACTTTTGGGTTAAAAGTGATATACAGTATATAAAAGAATAGTATTGTTAAAACATAGTTATCGGCGCTTTTGGTGGTTTAAGCACCACATGTGAGTTTCTGTAAGCTATTGGACACTGCTTAAGACAAAGCATATTAAAAACTCGCAAAATCCTCAAAAGCTTTAGATTGTCTTTATTGAATTCTAATGTACGCGTATTGTTTCTACTACAATATCTATAGTGGAGTGGCATAAAGAGATGTTTTTTTTTCTGAGACTAAGCTTCATGTTTAGTAGTTTACAACAGAACACAGAAACCGATAAGAAAGGCATTTGCAAATGCAAAACCTTTGGAATCAAGTGTCTGAATACTTTCCAGAGTATTTAAACCAGAAGCACGTATATATGGTGAACACGAGTCTTGATTACGCCTCCAGCTTCCTTGATTTGTGTTGCACTGGTTGCTTGTATTTCTATTCGCTCTTGGCATCATTTTAGCCTCAAGCGTAAAAGATAGATCCTATTGCAGGAAAAAAAAACTGGAAACTTGCCAGGACCCGCCCTGGAACCAGCACCTTACTGAGGGGACAAGTGCGCCTCCCTTCACCGCTGTTTGGCTTATTCATAGTTAGGGGTTTGGCTGTTTTTAAAAAGGCAAGCCTAGTCTGAAGTTGATCAGTCTGCTTAGAAAAGTTCTCCAGAGGGGAAACTGTTGGAATCGCTTAAAAAGAAAAAAAGGAAAAGGAGCTAGGCTTTTCTACACAGACTTGCAGTTGGTTGCAGACAGGACACCATTTTTTAAACAAAAGAAAGGATTTTAGAGTATTCCACAATCTGGTCGTTCTGCACTTTTTAATATTGGATTTTCATTTAAAAATAAGGAAAAAAATCAAACTTTGCTTCATTCTGCGAAAACGTCATTTTTTTACACCTGCAGATTAGCACAACTGTATTTTTAGAACTCTCGAAAAGAATACAGGTGCGCGTGGATGCTAACATTTTTTTTTTAATAAACTTCCAAAGGCTTTGATATCAGCTTCCAGAAAAAAAGTCAAATCTGACGTGCGGTGGCAGATCATTTAAACATTTTGTTTAAATATATAAAATTATACATATATTTAAAAAAACGAGTTGCTTTTTGAGAGAAGAAAATGATCCTCGGGTTTTTTATGTTGGTGACATTTTTCTTGGGACTGTCTGGGTGCCTAGGGTCTTATGTGCCTTGCGAGCCCTGTGATCAAAAAGCCCTTTCAATGTGCCCGCCGGTCCCGGTCGGCTGCCAACTTGTTAAGGAGCCTGGCTGCGGGTGCTGCCTGACCTGCGCTTTATCAGAAGGTCAGGCGTGTGGTGTGTATACCGGAACATGCACGCACGGGCTCCGGTGCTTGCCTCGGAGCGGTGAGGAAAAGCCGCTTCACGCCCTTTTGCATGGCAGGGGAGTCTGCACAAATGAGAAAGGATACAAACCGCACCATCAACCGATTGGTAAGTGCAAGATATGTAATGTAACCTAGCCTCGCTGGAATGTGGATGCTGGACAGCGCGCAACTTTGACACTCGCTCACTGTGTTATCCAGTGTTACCTAATACACAATATAAAGAGTGATAACACGTTAAAAAACCTCCAACCGTATTTTTTTTTCTCCTCGACGGTTTTAAAAAATGTGAAACGTCTAAGGGATGTTAGAAAATTGAGCACAAAGCAGCAGGTTCATCAAGGAAACTACGATTGCGCTACACAGTATTGACAACACTAAACGGTTGGTTGATATTATCATTTTAATTTCTTGTCTATGTATAGACAACATATTGTGTTGGCAGTGTAGTTGTAGAAAATATCTCTCGTGTTAAAATGTCTTTTGTCCCGTAAATTTGCTTTGATGCCAAAAGCGAATAGAAATACGAGCAACCAGTGCAAGACAAATTAAGGAGGCTGGAGGGGTAATCAAGTCGCGTTCACCATACTGTATATACGTGTTTAAATACTCTGGAAAGAAGCCAGACTATTTTGTGTATTTCAGATTGCCAGTTTCCTTCTCCTTACCTCAGTGGATTACGTATGATGCGCGAATAATTGTCTTTTTACAACAATCGATAAATATGAGAAAGTACCTACCAAGTTTTTCAGCCTCGAAACGACGGTATCACAGATGTCAGGGGCAGGTAGTACCATTTCAAGCATCTGTTTCAAACGTCCTGGACTGACACAGTTACTAGCACGTGCACCCGGGCAGACCAAATTTATGTGGAGTGTACTGCCTTAGAAACTCTTCCAAAATAATGACATCAAATTCCTTTAAGCTCCCTTGTTTCATGTTTTGTTTTCAATTATCAGTCAATAACACTCCAATGGTGTATAATTCCGTGCCCAGTTAAGGCAGTATTGGGGTTTCTGTACTGTTTTAACATAAAGAAGTGCAGATTTGTATACCTGACTTGGAGTGGAAAAACATAAATCTGCTAAAACGCTATTCTCAAAGCCTGTTCCTTTAATCTGAATGCCCGTGAAGAGGTTATCCATGTCTCGCTTTAGACCTGTTTCTGTCTTGTTAAGTGCCTGCTTGTCTTGGTCAGTGTCATTAAGACTAGCTGTTGTAAAAGCTGAGCTTTTGCATCATCCTGGGAATTATTTCAGGGTATAAGGAAAACTACTAGAGCAAAATCTTTACAGTTAATACTGTAGTGTTGCTGAATTACTGTCCGGATACCATACATGTACTGTAAACACATATGGTAGCTAATTTTGCCCTCCTTTATATAACCATGCAGGTTAAAAAAGTGTTATTTCTCCACCCTGAACATTACTAAACAGAACGCTATTATACAAAGATAGAAATGAACAGCATTCTGCAATTAGTTCTTTGCATTACAAATCCTGCTTCTGGAAATTTCCAGATTGAATGAAGTGGACATTAGATTCCTGGGGGCAACAGATCTTGGCTGGCCTGAGCTAAGGTTTATATCTGTGGGTGGTGTCGAGAGTCGGATTACTGTTCACAGATTAAATCTGAGTTGGTGGAGGGTGGTGTGCAGGGGGGGAGGAAGGGGGGGAGGGCAATTAAAAATGAATGAAGGTCTGACTGGCTATAAGCAGACAAATCTGAATCAATATCAAGTTCACACTTAATTTACCCAGGACAAATGTATCCCAGCTGCCTTTAAACACCAGGAGCAATACTACTGGAGTCAGTCATGTGACAGCATTACCAGTCTTCCTTTCCTTATGCATTTGCCTCACATCCAATAAGTGAAGAATCCTAGACCTGGATTGTTTATTCTTGTGTAGGGAACCCTTTTATATGGCAGATAGAGCTACTGTATACATTAGTCAGCATGTTGCTGGGATACTTTTGGAAACAATTCATTTTCTGTATATATGGCAGACAGATCCCTCTAATCATGTTTAACCTGATACGCTTCTCATATCTCACAAATTCTGTTTGGGGAGGCTCTTTCTCCACTCACACAGACACCTTATCCTATCTCGTTTTTAAATCTATGCAAATCTTCAAAAAGGAAAAAGTCCCCTCTCTGTTAATATATCCCCTAGCTAAATTATATGTAAAAATGGGAATCTTTCCTTTCCATCTCTCTTAACATTGCAGTGGGCACACAGTTGCAGTGCAATGATTCAGCAAAATGTTTTTGGAACAGTTCTTTAAAGCTCTGTCGATCATACCAAGATGTATTTAGAATACAGTTTCTCATTTCTGCTGGGGTTTTGTTTCGACCCAGTTTTACTGACCAAGACCAGAAATGTACATGGGAAATTCAAGTGTCCAAAACTACCCAGAGAATAATGTAGGATCTGGCTGAGTGAGGATTAATGTCCAGGGTTTTTATTTTATACATTCATTCTTCCCCCCAGAACAAAGTCTCATTATACTGTTACTGGATTATATTTGCATGTGTAATTGAATCGTTAATTGGTTGATTTTATGAGACAGTGAAATGCTCAAGTTGGCATTAAAGTGGCCATAACCTGGCTCTTCTTGCCAAGAGTGCTTATGATTTGTGGCTTCACACATTATGAAGCGGTGTGAATTTGGAACATCATGACTGGTGAACTGCTGCCAACAGATATGACTTCATGGCTGCAGATCTTTGCCCTCGTAGATTTTAAAAAAGTGATCTACATTTGAACAGATTCTTTGCCAAGAAAGAGCAAAGATGATTAAAAAGTGACTCCAAATCTAGAAATGTAGATTTTGGCACAAACAGCATGCTGTGTCGCTAAAATGTTGTATGATCTTTCATAAGGACCAAGAAGAGCTTCAAGTAACTTGGACAGAATTAATGTTATTCAGTACATACAGAGTAAAAGTGAAGCAAGAAAAGTCTCAACAAAGCAAGGCAGCACCTTAACTCAGAAATTAAGGTTTTACATTGGTTAGAAGGCTCACGAAACATCAAGAGCAACAGCTTTATATTGTTTGTATGGTACTTCACAATTGTGATGATGTATTTTGCAGCATGTTTAAACTACAGTTAAGATATTAACTGTATCATTTATTTTTGTCCATATCTTTCCATTTCAAATGCCTTATGTTTCAAGAAAGTTTTTGAAATTAAAACAAAACAAATAACTTATGTGTTGTAAAACCAAAATTAATTTAAGACTATGTCTGATTATCCACTTAAGACACCTGGAAAGGCATCTGTAGGAAACATTGTGTGGATTATTCATACTGATATGGGGTCCTACTCTTGTTAGATCCTGACATAGATACTTAACATTATTTTCTTAAGAGGTGACCTCAGTATTGTTGCTCTGTTGAAGACACCATTCCATTGAGTACAAAGTTCTCATATGCCTTTTGTCACTCGTAGCCTTATCACTCAATAATCAAACTAGACTTTTTCCACTAAACAGAAACAAGAAGCATAGTTTTTGATACAGTTTTCAATCCCATGCTTTGTGATACTGTGGGAAAGTGTAGTTTTCTGACCACCAAATGCTGTTAGGGCTTTGAGGTCACTACCTATGCTCTTCTTGGCAGTGTACTCCAGCATTTTTTATTACAGCAAGCACTTCTTAATTGAGACTTGAATAGTACATCTCTGCTATTTTTAACTTGGCGGCAGCAGGATGTTGGACTCAAGTATAAGCAGGAAACTAGTTTGATTACACTCTATTACTTCTTTTCGTTTGGTATTATGCTTATAAAATGGTTATTTCCTGTGAAGTGTTAGCTACGCAAGGTCAATGCAAATTGAGTGGAGAGAAAGGAGCAATTGTAAGCCAGATACAGGAGCACGAAAAGCTAAAGGTAGAAAATGGCAATTTTGCTCCCTTATTACATGCAGATTTGCAAAATATGCACATAACCTTTGCCTTTAACAACATCATATTTAAAGAGAACAATTCTGACAAATTGTTAGACCTTTGTAGTATAGAAAAAAATACTTTATTTCAATCTTGGTTTTAGGCAAAAGATCTAGACTATAGATCAAAAGTTATGAAAACATTTTTCTATATATGGAAGGTTACATTGATACTTTGGAGAGAAACCCACATGTTATTTGAAGAACAGAATTTAGTTTGATTAAATTATGGACATTTTATCTGTCAGCTGTCAAAAATGAAGATTTTGCTTTTTTCAGTATATGTTTAATGTATATAAGTATTATAGAATTACTGCTTTAAGACAATGATTGGTATTCTGAGTGACTTTGGTATTCCTATTATATGAAAAAACATTGTCAGACAGAATTTTTCTTATGTTACAATTGAAGATGTATTACTAGAGATTATCTTGACTAATCTGAAGACACCTGTCTGTAATTACGTGACCAAACCTAGATATCATTTTAAGTTCTTATTCCGATTCAACTATTAGTTTTTTTAACTGTTACAGATATCGTGCAGAAAGCAACATCAGCTTTGATGAAAACATACATATTGTATGAGTAAAAAAAATATTTTGTCTGCATTTAGATATACTGTATATGGAAGAAAGATTTCTTCTTTCTTCTGCAGCAGTGAATACGTAGGGCTTGCTTGATCATGGGAGCTGGGACAAATAAACACTTGATAGAATTACAGTAACTGAACTCTGTACTAATGTTGCTCTACAACTCAGTAGTGTCTTATGTACTTGTAGGTTCATTATTCTGTTCTCTCAAAAATGTTCTAAACACTTCTTTAAAGTATACTTTCTAATCACTGTTTACTAATTGTGTACAAAGATGCAAAGCAAGACAATCCCAGGCAAACATTCAACCAATTAATTTTGTACATCCACTTCAAAGTTGGTCATTTTATGTTTTTGTTTTCCCATGGCCCTCATCTCCTCCCTGAAGGTCATCATCTGTACAACAGTTAATTCAGTGGAGCTTTTTGATACTTTGGAGCAAAATAAGGGCCTGGGAGCCATGGTTGGGTAGCGATGTGCATTAAACAAATTAATACAGCTCAGAATGCCATCTGATCATTAGCATTATCTGCTTCCACCCTTATTGAGGTTCAATGCTATTTTTAGTTCGTTTTCATTATCTACTTGAATGAATGTCTGCAGAACTTAATTGCTACTTTAATAGCTGTCATTCTCCGGAAATTGGTGTACACGTAGCCAAACTGGTCTGCTAATACACACTGTGGGCCAGGATGTAAAGTTCAAAATTTTGTTATGATTTTGCAAAAATGTGGGGTTAATTTACTTTTACAAGAGCTGCTTCTTCTAGCAGTAAGGCACTTAAGATATTCATGAAGTATAATTGGCCAGCATGTATGTTAATATTTAAAGAGACCCATATCAGGTGCACATCCTTTACCTCCTCAGTATCTCTGGTCTTTATGGAAACTTTAGTGTGATCAAGCAGGTAGAAACAAATTTTATCTTTTATGCCAAAGCAGATCTAAATAGATGGACTGCACATAATGTTTATGTCATGAAGTTTCTCCAGCACTTTGTCACTGTTTCAGATATAACATATGGGTGAACTCGGCTTCTTTTAGAAGCAGGGAAAGGCTTCACAGCAAAATCAAATTTTGGCACCAATCCTTCAGCACTGGGGAAATAGACAAGGGGTAAAAAGAATGGCTTGACCCATGTCTAATGTGACACGGGTAGAAAACGGTAAAACCCGTTAATAGCATCTACTTGATTAATTATCTTCATCTATCTGTGACATATAGAAGGTGGTTGTGTTTCCTGTGTGACGTATGTGACCATAACATTGTGTTTTTCATGACTTGAAATATGTCATTTAAGGATCCCTGGAACTGCTCTTTTTCAACCAGCTAGCCATTCAGAGAATACAATAGTGGTGGATTGTGCTCCACCATTTAATAAAACATGCTAATTCTTATCAAGTTACTGTTACAGATCCAGAGAAATCTACTATTGCAAGTGTAGGCAGGCTAAAGATGAAAAACTGCATAGAGCTGCCTGATCAGCTTCATTCTTAGGTTCAAAGTTTGCATTTTGACTTCAGACACCGATGTTCATCCAGAGTCTGTCCAAAGTTGACTACACTATAGTTTGTTATGCCATCAATCTTAAAAAAAACAAACAATTATACCTTACTGATTTTAAAAGATGTTTGCAGAAAGCAAGTCCCAGAGTGTATGGAAACTAATTTGTATGATTATTTTTAATCTTCCACCCAGCTGTCCTCTAATATCTCGCTGCTGTCTCTGCAACAATACTTGGCACATTCCCTCAACATTCCAGCCAGACTCTGCCTTCCAATTGCCATTCTGTCGGATTTCCTTACTGGATAAATATAACCACAGTCATCCACTGGCACAGTGGTTCAGTTAGTCTTGGACTGGCAGACACCCCAGTAATTCTATGCTTACTATATAGTAATACCTGGGAGAATGACTGTCTTCTTGATGGTCTGTGTACACTGGATAGCCTCAAGAAACCTGTGCCCTTGGTGGTGCTTATTTTATCTAGGGAGCACAACTTCTTCAGGATCCATAGAGGCTGAGAAAGGAAAGTCAGGCAGTGGTTGTTTGTGTTTCTGTTTCACAGTGACCCCTATAGATGTACACAGTGGGGCCAGGTGGAAACTGGGTGGAGTGCCTAGCAACATTGAGTTGCCTGACCTACCAGATTGACAGCAGCCTTTCTATCTGGGTGTCCTTGAACATTACATGAACTATAATGTATAAATAATCAGATTAATATTTTGAAGCTAGGGAGGAAAACTGATAGATATGCTTAGAGACAACTTGCATTCTTTTAAAGCAGGTTTTAAAGGTAATTTATAGTTTTGTGCAGATGTTAATTGGTGTTATTTCTTCTTGAACTTGCTAATATCCAGAAGTTGCCAACATGCTGGAGCAAAGAGATACAGCTTATAGGGAGATACTGTATGTAACAAGGTTCCTGGATTGTGAAGATCTTTGCATATGGATAGGAACAATGACGTTAGCATGCCAGACGACTAGATTCCTATGTGAGACCACTGAATTGCACATCAAATGTCAAATTTGATTTCTTTTGGAATTATCTTCCACAAATATACATATGCATAGTATAGTATGTATAGTTAACTTAAACTGTCATTCTTCCAAACACATGTATTATAGTCAACAAATGTCCTATGCTATAACAGACCACTGTTAAAAGACCACTGTACTTAATTTGACAAACAAATGTTTGGTGTAAAAGTCTAAGAAGAATCTTAAATTCAAAATCTATAGTTTGTTCCATTTCTGGACAGTTTGGACAGCTTTTATTGAACATGGGCATCTTTAATTGCACAAAACTAAGTGCCTGAATATTTGAAAGATTATTTTTACATTTTAAATACAGTACATTCAGAATCCTAGCTACACTGTCACTTCTTTGATGGACAAACATTGATGTTCTTGTCCAATAAAGTATTCGAAAAATATATCTTATGTTTGAATAGTTGAAAATCAATTTTCTGTTTGTTTTTTTTTTTACCAAGCAATAAACTTGCCATTAGGCAGCAGTTTTGTCCACCTCTGCCTGTTGCAGCCCTGCAGTTGCCATGGTTCTGTGGTTACTGTGGCTTCAAATGGCACTTAGCATGAGTCAGGGCCGTAAAAGATTCTTCGAGAAGCTGGTAACTTTCCACTCGATTCGTATAGCCACATTTTTCAAATTGAAGCAAATCAGGAAGAGGTCAAAAAGCTCGGACATTTTGTACATCTTAAAACCATTAACTTGTTGAAGGATGCTGGATGTACAAGCAGAAAGTTAGGGAATTTCTGTTGAAAGCTTTATCAATGTGTATTTTTTCCAAGTTTTTAGTTAAATATGAGGAGGTAGATTTCAATGTTCTCAATAACCTGTTTCCAACTCTTCATACTCTAAAATGCAAATACTCTTCTGAGAAATATTTTGTTTGCCCCCAGTCCTCCCCCCAAGACTGTTACTAGATCACATTCTAGCTAGTTAGAGCATCTAATGTTCTACCTGAGTTTTGAAGAGGGGATGGGTGGCAGATGAGAGAGAAGGTCGTATTCAGTTCAGCAGTAGGCGATCAAATGCAAAAGTGCCCCCTGGTGGAAGCTGTTTTGTGTCTGCTGTACCTCAAATTACAGGGAGCCAACCAGACATTTTAAAATGTTTATTTTTTGTACTTTTATATGTGTAGGTTAATTATTTCTAATTTTAATATAATACATTGTTAAATTTTCCAGCCCCACAGATGTGTTCACAAGACATTACAGAAAGGAATTTGTTGCTTCATTTGATAACATATATCATGCATCTTACTTTAGTCTTTACATATTTTTTTTCCAGACAAAGCATTTCACAAATGGTCTAGTTCTAATTTTGTAAGTTAATTGAACTTTTCTTCAATGCTTTACCGTGTTACCAAAAATTAAGGTTCTCGTAAAATATTATTTTGTTCGTAGTTTGCATAAACATACACTTAATTTGGGCCAGTTGCACTTAATTTCAGGTTGCTTTTGTTGCCTTCGGTATTGTAAGCTGTCTTAGTACTCGGTTGGTGCAGTTACGAGAATGAAATCATGAAAATATCTGCTGTTATCTCATCGTTTAATTATTATGACAACCTGTGGGATTTCCAGCAGATTTTGTTTATAAAGCATATGTATCCACAAACAGATCATTTTATTGTTTTATTTAGAGCGAGAATCACGAGAACATGAAGAACCAGTGACAGCTGAAATCACAGAGGACCTGCACCCTGCCAAAGTGCCTCTCCATCCTAAAGACCCCATCCGTGGCAAGAAGGCAGAAGCGCTGCGTAAGGAAAAGAAGAGACTGCAGGAAAAATCCCGATCTGTTGGCAATTTAGATTACTCTCCACTCCCCATTGACAAGCATGAGCCAGAATTTGTAAGTTCACACAGAGGGGGGAAGGGTGTGAGTTCTTAGCACTGTAATGTGTTAACAATTTGATTATACCTTGCTTGTAATGTAAGGTAGAACTGAAATGAACTTGCAGGTTGAACTTGCTATGTTTTTTAAGGGTCCCTGTCGAAGAAAGCTTGATGGAATTATCCAAAAGATGAAAGATACGTCTCGGATTATGGCCCTGTCTTTGTATCTTCCAAACTGTGACAAAAGGGGCTTCTTCAAGCGCAAACAGGTACTTTTTATATGATTTAACTTGACTACCATGTCTGATGCAGTGATGCGATATTTTAAGTTAAATGCTTAATGTAGAAGCAAAATGTACTTTTTTCAAAGAAGTAGCTGTGTTCTCTGTGGAGACTAAATACTTTATTAAAGGCCCCAGAGCAGTCCTAATAACTTTTGTCATCTCTGATCTACTGCCAGCCTATGCTTTAACTTCAATAAAGTTATTTAAGATATCTTAATTGTATAGTCAAAGTATTTGATTTTGACAGAATATCTCTTGTCATCTGTTGTCTGTTAATATATCATCTGGATGATGATACTGGATGTAAAGGCCCCTCATGTTATATGTTCTGTGTCAATAAAATAAATCAGCTTTTTAACTGGAGTCTGGATACAGGTCTCCAGAATGTCAAATTCAAAAGACCTGAGGATTTCTCGTATATCATTCTTGTTTTTAGAAATATCCTTTTTCCCCAGTGGGAACCTTCAGTGATTTGGCAGTAAAAGACTTGTTCTGTTCATTTTTAATCATTAAGGAGATACCCTTTAAAAATACAGGAATCTGAGGCTTTCATGATGTGTTTGACTCTGAAATGCCTTTAAATGGATTGCGGCTACACAACAAAAGCAAAATTCCCCTTCCTCTTTCAAATGAGGAACCTGTCTAACAAATTACCGGCCTCAATCCAGCTGAGCATCGTCAAACCCAGTGGCTTTACACAGTGTAGTCTTGTTCCCTTCAAAGACTGATGTGCTTTTTTTCCCCCTCATTCCCCCTGTGATGCAGTGTAAGCCATCCCGTGGGCGAAAACGAGGAATATGCTGGTGTGTGGACAAGTACGGGGTTCAGCTGCCGGGCACTGACTACAGTGGAGGAGACATCCAATGTAAGGACCTGGAGAATAGCAACATCAATGAGTGAGGAACAGCTCTCCCTGAACACATGACCCAGGGCCTGCCTCCTTCCTTCCTGCCCGTCCGCCCGCCAGTCACTTTGAGATTCAAAATAAAAAAAGGCATATGAACCTTTGACTGTGCACTCAACTCTAACTAGCTGGACCCAGTAGGGCTAGCCCTTTTTCTGTCTATTATGTGACCTCTCTGAACAAAATGAGCTGGGTCTGAGCAATTCATTTGTAAAAATATATACATATATTTATATATTTTTATAGAAGCTGAGGTTTGAGCACCAAACTTTATTTCTTTTAAAGTTTAATTAAAGCAACAAAAGGCACGTCTGTGAAAAAAGGCTTTGTCTTTCACGTCTATTACTTTGTGGCATCAGGAGAGATACCAGGAACTAATAATATAGGCAGAATGATGATGCATTTGTTTGTTTTTCAAAAACAAAAACACATGAGGTAGGGATCTGCTGAAACAGTTCTCACTATCCAGGTATTTGTCCTGTCAGAGCACTTATTTTGTAGGGGAACCTCATTTGCTTCTTAAATTTATGATTTCTTTAGGTTCAATGTATGTGTTTTTGTGAGTGTGTTGAGAGAGCGAATTTATAAAAGAATGTCTTTTTTCCTGTCATTGACACTTCCACGATGTTTCCTGTGTATTAATACTGATAAAGGAATCTTTCTGGAAGCACACTCTAACGTCCTATAGAGATAGGGTGTTTCTGAATTTAGGAACCATAGACCAAGCTTAAAACCAGCATTCTGTGGGCAAATAAATAATATGACTCCTTTAATGGTCCATTTTACCAGTTGTGCCTATGTAAACAGAAACTGTCAAACAAATCACATTAATTTTCACAAAGAGTGCTATTTCTGCTGCCTAAAAGAGGTCAAGCAATACAATTTATATATCTTTGTTGTTTTAAGGGATTCTGTCTTCAAATATGCAGAGCTTTGAAACTTGATTGGAAACTGTGAGACTGCATGATGTGGTGGCATGACCACTATCTCTGTCACCTAGAGTATCTGATACAATATATCTATTCACAGTTCAAAATTGTTGGTGGTAAAAATGTTTGCTTGTTTTTTTGTCACACAGAGATCACTTTGCAACTTTTTTAAAGGATTTTGCATTATTTTTGATTGATGTAGCTACTGCATTGCCTATTGTTTTCTGAATTCCTTTGTAAAACAGTTTCATTACTCCAAAGTTTTAACAGACAAATAAAGCTGTCTTAAGGTTTTGTGAAGATGATGCATAGTCTCAAATATAGTGAACGTGGTGCATTGACACAAAAATAAGCTAATAGATTCTCTGGGGTATTGTCTGGTTTGATTCAGTTTGTGCTGTATTCTTTCCTTCAGTGAAGAAATAGCTTGCTAGTTACTGAGCTGTGTTTTTGAATGTTATTCAGTCAATTAGTCTGAATAAGATTCTGAATAGAGACAATAAAACATGTGTAATCTAGGTTTTAGTGTAGGTTCGTTTCTGTTACAAAGAGCTAGGGAAAAAGCCTGGCCCCTGCACAAGGGTTTTTTTGTGTACTTGAGCCAGTGTCCTTTAAAAAGAACTAAAGCACAAGCTTTCATTATGATGATGTATTTGCATAGTTTATTTCAGTCTGTCACAACTGAAAGATTGTTGTTCCTCTTAACTTATTTGTTTCGAATTATATCAGCATGTTAAGTCAATTGTAAATTGAATTCTTGAATCACCAATCGAAAAAGAAAAGGAAAAAATAAATACACTGAAATAAAATACACACACTATCACAACAGGGTCATTTAGATTGTGGCCTTAGACCTGTATGGAAATGTGAGTGCCTTTTCTACATGCAAATATTTTAGATATTTGAATGGAGTTTTAAATAGAGGCCTAGAATATATATGCCGATAAATTAAAGTAAATGACTTGGAGATACCCATGTAACATAATAGTAATTATGATATATTGTAGCAACCGCAATTAATCCAGCCATATAATACTGGCAAATAAAGGTGTATTGTCTGCTGTTTAGCAAACTGCACTTTTTTCTAGTTCAGTGGATGTTCTCTGTTAAGCTGATTTTTTTTTCAATTGGAATGATGAAAATGTTCTTTTATGTCACAAAAGTACCTCAGCATAACACAAATGTGTGTCTAGATAAATGTGACAAGCGATGAACAGTACAGATAACTTCCAATTCATATATTTCTGAATATTCAAAGTGACCATTCCATACTTGAAGCCACAATTTGAAGTTTATTTATTATTAATATTACGACCACTTTTTTGGTCATTTTGTAGTCCCTAACTGCCTACATCAGAACGGAGCAGAAAGGCTTTTAATGAGTGATGCCAGATCACTGGAGCATCACAACATATCAAAGATAGTCTTGTTGTCCCGCAGCTTTAATTTTGGTTTTCTCGGCATGAATGGTTGTGCCTCTTCAGAAAAAGATGAAGATGAATTCTCAGATGACTTGATTGATAGATTGGACCCCTGTTTCTATAGGCAAATATGAAATCCTTTGATATAATACACAGTTTGTACCGCAATTGGAAATAGAAATATAAAACATAACTTAAATCTACTTATCCCAAAGGCTTTACTACTGCTTTGCTGTTTTTAATATTTAAAATAGGACAATAAATGAAAAAGATAGGTATAAGTATACTTTATAATAAATCCACTAAGCATTTTAAATTCCAAAACTTGTCAATTAATTTCGGATTTCTTTGTGGCTCATAAAATTTCAATAATTGATCACAGATTGATCTATATATATTAAAAATAGAACACATTTTACTTTGCCAATCTCTGGGGAAGCACTGCATTTTCAGAACAATGCAACACCCATAGCACTCTCTTCTTGCTCTTACGGTTATCCCATTGAGCAGATCAGTTTGCATAAAAGCAAAAGCAGCCTTCATCTGCTGCATTCAGTGCACTCAAATCCTGTCACAGAATATTTTAGTGCAGTTATCATTCAGACAACAAGTAATGAGCAGCCAGCAATTTGTATGTTTAAAAAACACAAATGTTATCCAGATTGATTTTTGCATTACGGCTTTGTGAAAAAGAAAATTTCTATAAACTTTGAAAACGAAATTGAAAAGAGGAATGCAAAAATTCCACAGTCTTTTATGGATGTGTACCTGTGTATTACTTTAAAAGCAAACTGAGCCCTGGGTCTATAATCGTGTAAAATGTGCACACATGCTGGAAAAGCCATAAACAAGTTTGGTATTCATGTTAAATCGGCATGAACACAGAGACTTGTATAGAATGTTCTTTAAACTAAAATAAATCTTTTTTCAAAGCTTTTGAGCCACTCTTAAAAGCACTGTTAATGTCTGGCATTCAGTCAGCTCCATCTTAAATTTCTATCATTAACACCAGAAATTGAAATAAACTCAGCTGAGAAAGCAGCTTGCACTTAAAAAAAATGACTTCTTGCTGTACCTTTAATAGCAAATTCCTTTTACTTTAAGGAACAGATGCTGCTTTCCATTGGAGGTTTTCTTTAATAAGGTTTAGAATTACTTTGACAGGGGCTGTGCAGCCCATGCCTGGGGTGTGGAACAAATTCAGTTAAGTATAACAATACTACTAATATAAAAACAAATTCCGCTACTACACAACAAAAAGAATTTCTGTCTTAGAGTCATTTGGAAAAGAGCACAGAACAGTCAGGGATTTATCAGAACTCTGGTCTCTGACAGGCAATTGCTAAAGGGTGACACAATCAGCACTAGCATCACATAGATGCACTTAGCAAATGACAAAGATCTTTGGAATCTGAGAACTGTAGAAATAATGGAGGTAGTAATCATAATTATTTTCTTCCTGCTCACTCCCTTTTTCCCTGGTAGAACTGTTCCTAAACACAAGGTGAGCGAGAATGTACATTTCCCTTTGGTTTGTCGAAGTGTTAACAAAAGGCATCAGTCTGTCACAGTGAGACAAAAAAATAAATGTTTTGCAAAGACAAGATAGTTTTTTTTTTATTAAAGTCTAATAAAATAGTTTCTTCCAGCAGGTTAATGTAGTTTATTTTATATGGCCTACAGAGTTATCCTCCTACTATGTGCTGGAATGGTTATTTTCCTCTTGAAATACTACATTCAACATCATATTTAGAGCAACTAATTAATTGCAAGGATCTCAACCAAAGAAAAAGCCTGAAAAGAACTTACATTTCGTACAAAATTCAGATCTAGGTTGCTCACCACACTTTTTAAATGGGAGAGGATTATGATCATATATATACAAACATTTATCTGGAAAATAGTTTCTGAAATTTCTTTAAAACATGCCATTTGATGCAAAGCATCCTCATGTTCAGGTGCTACAAATGACAGTAAATTACAGAGCTCTGATGATAAAGATCTGGATTTTAATAGCTTTGTTATTTAAAATAGAAATGTAAAAGTTCAAATACACCACTTAAAACCAGACTTAATTGTTAGGTTTTTTTAATTAGCCTAACCCCAGAAGTGTCCTCCAATCAGATTCTGTGTCTCCTACCTGGTAAGACTACAGCAATAATCACAGCTCTCATTACAGTAGCTAACTATAGCTTCTTTTGAATGCCGAACTTTTTTTCATGGAGAAGAAACAAACTATTCATTATCTTAACATAATGTAAACTGGTTTGTGAAAAAAAAATGTGGCAGGAGAAAAATGTTCAGCATTTGGAACTTTGCTGAAAAAATAAAAAAATCTCAATTTATTAAGTGAATATCACTGTGTAATATTTATTCATCCTGTAATTTATGTACTCCTTTAACCTTTGTCTTTTTGTTATGACAAAGCATTTATTTAAATAAAGTTGTGTATTCATTTAAACCTTGGAGGTGTTTTGTCTGAAAGTTCTTGTATGCTTTTATTTATTTATTTTTAAATGCAGTTTCAAATGCCATGATCACTAAAGCTAGTTGTACTCTATATCTCTGATGTTACTAGTTTGAACCTGGATCATGACACTCACCAAGAAGAAGCACACAACTGGCTGAATGTTGGGTTAGGATTAGTCAATCGGGTTCCTCTTGCCTTTTTATGGCTTTTCAAAAATCATCTTTACAGTAAAATCAGTAAGAGCCAAACCATTACCTCTGCTATCAGGCATATTAGGACTTGTAATGTGTCAAAAGACAAAGGAAGGTTTCATCACTCTGGTCTCCTCCCCTGATAGCTGATGTGTGGCGAGTTTACTGGGGCAGTATGGCTGCCGTCGCATCATACAGGTGGGTGCTGCACATTGGCGGTGGTGGAGGGGAGTCCCCATTACTAAATTACTCAAGTATAAAGCACTTTGAGTTGATTGTCCAGAAAAGTGCTAAGTATAATTCATTATTATTATTAATTTAATTAGTATTACTATTATTATTATAACTTCCCTTGACTTGAATAACACTAGTTTAACAAAGTATCCTAGCATTTTGTTGACCTTTTTATAGCTTCATCCTATTGTCTTTGTCATTCTTACTCCATGTTTTTAAGGCTCTGCAGTCATCTGCCCTTGTATGTACCTGGTGTCTGCCCTCCCCAGGGTCTTATAAGAATGCATTGGCAGCTTCTAAAATGTTAGTTACCTCCCCATTTTTCTTTCACTTATGAGATGAACATTTGCAGAATCGCTAGAATGTTTGACTTTAGATAACAAAATTGTCATTTTGTGTTGATTTTCCACAATTCCAAATCACCATGTTTCACTGTAGTGATATACACAGCATACTGTATGTCAGTTAAAACAGAATTCATTCTATCAATATTAATTCCACATTTTTACTACATTCGGAGCTCTAAAGTTAGAAATAGTTGAAAATCAGTATTTAAAGTTAGTTAAATTCCACTGTCTACTTTCAGTGTCTGAGAATTAATCACATTGTACTATGCTAATATATTACTATTTGAATGACCAATTCCAAGGTTCATTAAGCAGTTTCATAAAGTCAATCACATAATCTTCAAATATATTTATTTACAGTTAATATGAACTATTATAGGTTCAGTACCAATGTTTTGGAAAAAGGTTTTAATCGTAGAGCTGTCAAGATCATGAAGTAGAATACAGTGTAAAAGAAAGTTTCTGAAAATCATCACATTTGTGTCTTACAATGCACCTATTCTTCAGCCCAGTACAAACTGCTTGCCTACTATTTTTGTGTTGAGTTTTCTTTCTGGGTATATCTTTGTCAGTGGCCAAGTGACTTGTTCCTGGCTTCGACAAAAGACACTCTGAATGCTCAAACAAAAAAGGAATTTATTTTCCTCAAAATAATACAACAAACAGTCTTCCAGTGATCATCTTCCTCCCAGAGTTCAAGCATCACAAAACAATGCAGTACTCCCAAGAATAAGAGAGCACTGCAGTGATTTGGGGGATAAGGAGGAGGTATGTACCACTCACACTTCATAATTATCACATAAGGAAGGGTACAGGAGAGGTCTTGGAGTATTTAACATTTCATAAACAGGCTATCCTGTCACAAGCTTCCATTTATATAAGTGCTTTTTATGAACAATTTTATTTTTTATTTTCCATAGAAAAATAAAATACATAAATATTGAAGTATTCTCCACCAGCATGAAGGACCAATGGACCTAAAAAAGTAAAACAACTACAATGGAGAAACAGCAGCACTCAAAGACAACTTTTTAAGGCAGTTAGGCCAACTATCCTGCAAACATAGAGTAGGAAAGGAGAAATATCTTATTGTTTACAAGGAGCCTAATACACCCTTATATATTATAAGTAGATAATTCAAAGGATAAATAAGGTTCTATTGATAAACATTTTATTAAATAAAATAACAAAGGAAATAGCATATGAATTCTAAAAGGGTGATGCTGTAGTGAGATTTTGTGATTTCTCTCAGCTTACCAGGAGCCTTTTAGCGAACTGTTTGGGTCTACTTGGTGAGAACTAGGTTACAACGAGGTCACCATATCTGTTACAATACTAAAATACCCCCCCAATCAAACCCCTGTAATTCTACTCCCTTCAGAACTATTATCAAAGATGCTTTCATGCCAGTTAAACAGAACACTGTGTGGCTGCCTTTTTTCTTACATACTGTAGGTATGTCATGCATGAGACAAAACAGTATCATGCAAGTTTGGTTGGCTAATGGAGACCAAGGATTAAACAATGGGTGGCAATCAAGTAGTCAATCAAACTTACAATTATGGTTTATTTCCATAAAAAAGTTACTGCTGGTGTCCAAAACCATCATTAATCTTCTTCAATTGGTGATATAATGGTGATGATGCAAGGCTGTTAAGGCAGTAATTTCAGTAAAGCACTTGGCAGGGCCAAGGTAAAAATTACATATGGACTTTGTCATGATTCTTCCAACTTTGAGCAGTACTTTTTGTTATTGCATTGTCCTTTAAGTAGACTTACTCTCTGGATCACCTACTTGATTGGACTTTTTCCTAGAGAGTAGACCATACCTTTTCTTTTGGTGTAATCAGGAGGAAACAAATGCTCACAAGAAAGATCCCTCACTGGAGCTGTTAGTTCATCACAATGAATTTCATAGCATTTATCCAGATGTGTTTCTCTCCCATTGGATTTTCAAAAGTGAGGCTATCATGGATTATTGTTCCTTGTTTTCTTTCCTGGAGCTTTCCAGTCTGATCTAGTTGTGTATGCCTCACTGGCAACCCCCTACGTCATCTACATGGTGGTGAAATTTTTGACAGTTCAGACAAATTGATAGCTCATTCTCCATTCTCTGGGTGGTGGAGCATGACTGTACTTAGCATACTGTACTGTATATACATGGGAGTAGTGGTTTTATTTTTGAAGTTAAAAAAAGAAATCTGGAAAACTGAGCCAGAATGGAGTGTCCATGATTACAATAATGCATTTGCTCATGGGCAAAGTACAGTAGCTTACCTTAGGTTGAGTACTAAAGATTTAAAAAAGTATGGCCTAATGAAAGCTGCCATTCAGGAAAATTAATGGATTTCTGTCCAAAAAGGTAAAGAAAGTAGTTTTATAAGACCAAAGTCCAGTCAGGTGATTCACCAAGGGAAGTATGCAGCTTGCTAAAAGACCGGGAATGGAAGTGATTATGTTCAAAGGGGAAATCAAAGAAGGAAATACTAGATAAGATTATTCTGGAACAATATATTTTGTCTTCAGTTATGGGAGCTTTGCAGCTGGGTAAAAAGACACAGCCCAGTGAAAGGCACTTGGACTTGGACTAAGTCTTTAATTTCTCACACTAGGCAAACTTCTAGGCAACAACAATTGTCTAACCTTCTTCTGTCTTCAGTTTATTCTTTTACACAGCTTACATATTATCTGTGGTCACAGAACATTAGGTGGTCACAATCCAAATGGGTAAGACACAATGCCCTCCTAAAGTATTGGGACAGCAAAGTGAAAACTGAGTTTTGCTTCTCAGTTATTTGTAATTGTGATGATATGATGACTAAGTGCAGTCTAAAATATGCTTTATTTTGGGTAATTCCATGCAATTATTTAATCCTATTAGAACAAAACCAGACTGTGTTCAACCCAGTGATTTAAAGTTACCATAATTATGCACACACATTCACTTTAAGTACATTTACAAGTATAGAAACTGAATTTGGTTGCTTGGCTTTGCACTTGAGGTAATAATTTCTTGTTTGCAGTCCCTTGAGCTCACCAAATTCCCTGAGTTCACAGTAATCTTTGGCTGAAGCCACTTTGAGTTTTTGTCTATTCTTGGGGTGTTTTGACTTCAATTGTGTCTTCAGCATGTAGAATGCATGCTCAATTTGGATTTATATCTGGGCAAGTCCATTTCCGAACATTTTCATCTTTTTTCTCCTGATTAATCTGGTTTCATTGGCCATATGTTTTGAATCATTGACATCCCAAATCCTGAAGTGCCACCCAATTATATGAAAGCATTTTCTTCTACATAAGCAGACATTTACAGGTTTCAGTAAACATCAGCATTGATTCTGCTTCACCATTAGTTTCTTCAAAAAATGAGTGAACCAGTTCCATGATGAGGTGGTCCTCTTTGGGACCTCTGCAGCTCCCTTCTTTCACCACACTTTAACATTCCAACACTTTGCAAAAGTAATATCTTATACAGTACATCCGCCAAACAGCCATTAAAAAAAAAACTTTGGACTTTCATGTAAATTCTAATCTGGCTTTTCTGGTTTTTGCACTGATGAGAGGCTTATATATTGTAGTGTAACCTTTATAATTCTTCTTCAGACTTTCAATTTTAATACCATTACCTCTGCAAGCTAGAAACTGTCACCAACAGTTGTTTTAGACTTTTTCATGACAACTGATAATTTCTATGTTCAGCTTAGGATACTTTTCTTGGCTGATCCAGTCTTGGTCAATTAGTAATTATACCTGTGGTTTCGTTCTTCTTCTGTGAACTCTCTGAAATAGATATAATGAAAATTTAATTCATGAAAGAGGTTTTATGAAAACCGGAATGAAAGACTTATTCTAATACATTCGGATGGTACTGTGTTTTTATTTCATTTAGCCTGCATTGAATATTATTAGGAATAATTTGAAACTTTCAATTTGAAATTTGTGAGTTTATCAAACAACCAAATTATGCCTAAAATAAACATACTGAGTTAACAATCAAGTTTACTTGACATTTCTGTGTCATTATTTAAATATGAAACTCAGCATTTTGATATGAAAAGTTTCAGAATTTATAAATATGACACTAGCCTTTTAAGACCATAGTTAAAGGCTTCTAAAATACTTTTAGTAAAAACACAGAAAGGTTTCTAAACACTATGTATCGCAAGGTTCTTTTGAAGGTTCTAATTAAGAAGGCATATGGTTAAAACAAAAGCCAAAGGTTAATTTGTAAACAAGAGACGGATGAAGAAAGAAATAAATGTTCCAAATATTTATTGGTAAACAAGGAAGAAATAAGTTTTTTCTGAGCTGGAATTCAAAGAAAGAAACAAAACAGAGGCAACATTTCCTCCACAAAATTGTGCTCTAGTGGTGATTCAGCAGACACACATGTAAAAGACATAAATTTGTTAGTACAGGTCTTATGGCACTGAATGTCAATTCCATTAAACAACTACTCTTCAAAAAAGGGTTAAAGAAGGACTGATCATTTAGAAATTGAAAACTATTAATTTTGAAAAGAATTTGTTCATCTTGGCAAAAAAAATCTTATCCAGCTTCCAGGCAGGAGTTTAGGTCAGTGGTTGCAATCAAGGCACCTTTCGACATGAGTATAAAATGTATAAATCTGCATCAGGAAATCACATTAGAGAGATATATATATACTGTATATTCCACTCATTAATAACACTTAGGTCACATTAAAATAAAAATCAAGAAAATGTCTAATTGTTTGAAAACATTTTCAATAAAATATTGGATTAAATGATAATATATAAAAGACTCATTATACAAAACTCAAGGAAAATGCTTATGTGTTTAATTAAGTGATTTTCTACAAGTTTTCAGATCATTTATTCTACTTCTGTTGTTTTGTAATAGAATTACAAATTTCACTTTGTTTTAAAAGACAATAGTTGTCTACATTCTCTTTTTTCAAATTAAAAAGAAATTGCATTTTGTAAATATGCATAGAAGCACTTTGTTTTTATTTTGTTTTCCCTAGATGAATTGTACAGGATTATTATAGTTTTCTTTGTTATTGTATTAAAAAAAAAACATTTTTGTATTCTCATTTTAAAAATGCTTTGAGTGACAGTTGGATGCACCAAAAAGCAAATAATACACCTCTGTGGCTCCTGTTCAAACTATAATTTGGGACATGAGTCCACCCACACCAGAATTAATTGTTCAATGTGAATAAACATTAGAGATTTTTTAATTTAAACTCAAACTACAGTGAATTACATACACATGAATCAAATCTATAAGATAACAATTTCATATTTTAGAGATTCAATGCTGGTAAATCACATTTATTCTAGTTAATTACCAACTAAAATCAAAGAAACAATGTATTAGCCATTTGTGAAGTTCTTTGGTAATGAATAGAATGTAATGAATAGAGTATTTGATGTTTTATGGGGTCTTAACTAAAGGCATTTTTCCTAATCAACTGAGTATATATGTGCACGTGTGCTACCTTGTAAGGTGTCAAAACCTAAATATTATAGTAAAGGCCTTCTGTTACACTATCTAAAATCAGCAGATAGACCTGCTATTCATATATGTTAAAAACATTGGCCATCAACTACTATCAAGATCATTGAACTTGTGCAGTACTTGGCATTGTTTTCAGATGTTCTGGGCACAAACGTGTGGGTGGCTTCTCCATCATTACTTGGAAATATGTATAACAGAGCTAGGTGTTGTACAGTCAGTCAGCATTGCACGCATATATATGCAAACATACAATTTTTTATATAGTCAAACCCACTTAATATCACATTTGTCAATGTCAATCGCTTTCTCCTAATCTTGCTATCTGTCAGCACTTCATTAGTTATTCCCCTAGATAATGCCACATGGTTCTTTATAGTGCAGAAGGGCTTGGAGAACAGGGTTATTTTAGCCGCCAAAAAATCATGCATTCATTCTTTAACACAAGGCTCAGTGACAAATCTGGCAGTGCTATCCATTGGCACAATAACAGTGTCGAGTTCTGTACACTAGTACCGAAAGGAGAACTGCAATGTGTAGAAGAGATGTTGACAGCAAAGTGAGATTAAACCATCTTGGTAGAAAGGAGTGGAGTGAGGTGCAGTGATGAAAGACAACATATAGTTATATTTCAATAACAAAACTATTCCAATCTTAAAGATTTCTCTTTTTCTGCGACAGCCTGAATTGCCAAAGGAAAAGTTGAATAAATAAAAATGGAACTGGGCCTGAACAACAGCAGCTGAACAAATGAAGGACAACATTGCCTTAAATAGCTAGAAAACTAGTTGCAATACTAAAAAGGAGATCTAAAAAAAATTATATGTTGCTTGTAATGTACTCTGTATCTATAAAATACAGCCAATTTTGTACCCTTAAAAAATTATTTCTAGTTTATTTTTGTGACTTGATTTTGTGCATACATTTGCCTTTGCCATGTCTCCCTGCTCTTTATTTTTTCTTGTGATATCATGGAGGTTTGACTTATATGTTCCAAACAAAACTATAACATACATCTGTAACTTGTATAACTGCTTCAAATCCTGGTACTCCATAACATTTAGAATTTCCAGCACTTTTTCTCAGGAGGGTTATTTTTGAGAGGCCATAGGAGGCTGGGTCTGAAGCCCAGTGATGTACTGCTTGCAGCTGGGGTCCCCTCTCACCACAGGAGATCCTGGGATCGGCTTTCCAGTGTGCTGGTTCACACACCAGCACTCACCTCTTTGGCCATTTACAGACATCTTGCACTGAAACACAGGAGAAATACAAGAGCTTAATTAGGGATATTATATACTCAACAGTATATACTCCATTTGTCTGAACAGTATTTTTTCTAAAAAAGGCATGGATATGGAAAAGCAGAATTTACAGGAATTACAAATTATTACAGGAATAAAATGATGACTTGCAAATTATTACACTTTAAATTTGATTTATTGATGTCTCCATGAGCAAACAGTATTACAAATATAACTTGCACATTCTAATAATTATTTTCTCCTTGCCAAACTCACACTATGACACTAAGTTTCAAGATTAAAAAAACATCAGTGATCAAAGATTAGTGAACCTCAATTTTTAAAATGAGACATGGGACAAACTGGTTTCATTTAATTTTCAGAAGGTTTTATAATTGAGTCCCTGGAGTTATACATGAAATAAATTGAAGGTAAATATAATTGAAGAGTGTCACCTGTTTCAAGTTGTAGAGCCCTTGTTTGTCACAGTTGGGGATGTGAAGTGCATACAGGTACTCCAGTGGACCCCTTTCATCACTGAAGGGCATTTTTGAGATCCGTTCAAGAACTCGGTCCAGCTCCTGTTGGCACTGACTCTGCAGAGCAAGAATATTCATTCAGAATTGATTCTGAAGAGTCATTACATTAAAACAGAAATCAGTCAACATGGTCTTTTAAGTTTACTACTATTTTCAGTTTTTTTAGACTTTTGTCTGTTATTAATTAAAGTCTTCAGACATATTCATCTGACTATTATAAAAAAATATAATTGCTCTGTACCAGAAGAGGGCACTACAGTACTAAGTACATTAAGCAATGATCTTGTTATAAACTATCCTCTGCCTCAACAAAGGAGAAGATCTACCTTAAAACTACAGTCTCTATACCACATTTTCCATGGTTTATGTAATGATACACTTCTATCATATTGTTTTTAGTTTGGCGAAAGATTTTGTAACCTAATTTTGCAAACAAGTAATTTTATCCTCTATCCAAAATAACCCCAACCCCCACAAACAAGTCCTATTTTCATTCATACTAAAAACGGTTATTGAGAAAAATCTGCTTCACTTAAATGTCTAAGCAAATTATCACAAACAAAATCCTTTACTGCTTTAATGTGTTTTTAGTTAGTAAGCACAGTTTACACTGACAGGTTTCAAACGAGGCCTTTTGGGTTCATCCTGTAGTCTGTTTCCTGTGTGCATCTTAAGGCTTAGCCCTTTGGTATGCTGTCGAACTGCAATATCCTTTGGACTCAACCATTGACCATTTGTGCTCCTCTCTTCAGGCTGGTGGTCCGTCAGGCTCACCTCTGAGTGGTCCACCATTTCTGCTATTTAAGAAAAAAAATGATATTAGGAATTAAATGGGTTTTTTAACCATGTAACTAAGCTATGCATTATATGGCAAAAATGTAGCTAATTTCCAATGTGCCAACACAATGGGTAATAAATCACTATGACTGACTTACTCTAACCAATACCTTACATAAAAAAAGTATTTACTCCCGCTTTTACAAAAAGAGGGGAACAGAAGAAGAGGAGGTGTTCGGAGCTTTGGAGCAGGGATTATATGAACTACTGAAGCTTAGGTGAAGCAGTTTAATATCTCAATACCCAAAGGTACAAGTAGAAAGTACAGAAAAGGCTGGGAACAGGACACACTTCTTTATACAAAGAACAACAAGTATCCTTGCTGTCTGGTTTAAATGGGATCCTTAAATCAATTATTAGTCAAATGAGCTAAACAGATCTCTGACAGAGAGATATTTGTTCAAAAAGGTGTAAAACGTCTGAACTGGTTAGCATATTAAGAATAATTTTCAAAAGCTTCAAACTTTAAGCACTAATATGTACAAGCAATTAATAATTTGTAGCGGTTACCTCTACAAAATACCGTAACATTGTGTTACAGGACAAGATAACAGATGTTCTTCAAAATCATTACTGCTTTGAAAGGTTCTGAATTAAAGAGTTTAGCTCTTAATTACACGGTGAAATTTTCTGACAGTACAGAAAATTGCTCTCTCCCTCTTCTCTGTGGAATATATTTAGAAAATCAGTTATCACTTGCCAAGTAGTCTTCAAAGGGGACAGCAGATACTCTGAAAACATTTCAGTGCTCTTTTCAAATATCAGTTTAAACAACTGAACCCACTTGATAATGTATTTTGATGTGGACGACCTGCTGTATAATATAATCATTGATGCTTAGAAAAATGCAAAACTGATTAACTGAAGTAACTCACGTTTTACAATTGCATATTATGATTTCTTTCTAAAACAAGTATTGAAGCATTTCAGGCTGACTTTCAGAGGTTTTTGTGATTAATAAACATGAGTTCTGTAAAAAACAAATTCCGTACGCTTTGGCTTCACTCAGCATGTAAATATCTCCATGCATAACCATGGTTAAATTTCAGATCTTGTTAGTGTTTCAACTGCACATACTTAAACTGGGTATATATGATCACAAGTATGTTTTATCTAATCTATACACTCCCTTGTTCCTTTAAAAGGACCTGGCTAATTGTTGCTTGCTTAATTTTAAGTAAACTCTTCAATTTTCTGAAGTTAATACCAATGTTCCTTTGTGAAAAGCATATTGTAACGTTTCAGGGTTCACGTGGGCACCCTCACCGCTGCCGCATCAGGTCAGCCCCCCACCATTGGGGACTTAATAAATGTATTATTTATATATTTATATACTTTTATACAGTATATACTTTATATATCTGTACAAATACCAAAACATTGGCTCTACAATTAAAGTACATTTACTTAGCGTATCACAAATACAAACTGTCTTGAAAATAGTAACTTGCAAAACTATTCTCAGTGCTTTAATATGTAACTCCCTTTACTTGAAAGACAAGTCTTCAGAGGTATCCCTGCAGTAGAAGATCTAGTGAAAACACTTTTTTCAGCAACCTTTATGATGTTGCTGTGAAAGACGAAATACAGGTTAGGGCAAACTAATTAAACTGACTTGGTAACTTTTATAAACAGCACCCAACATGGACTGACAGTAACTCTAACAACAATTGCTGCAGGTGTTTCCTTCTATGCTAGACACAGACATTTCTGGATATGCTCATAAATGTGGAAATATAAATATTGCTCATAAATGTGCAATAGACAAAAGTAAGGGGATAATATTTGTCCCCCAGAATAAAGTTTAGATTTTGCTTGCTGAGTAATAAAGGCTAACATTCTTTTGTCTGGTTTTATCGTCTGTACCCCTGTCTGGTTTTAGCAACCTGAGCACACAAATAGACATCTGCTTATCTACACAAAAATAGATACAGCAGCATTATGTCCTAAACAATAATTGAAATGGCTTACACTGATGTCATCAAGGTGTGTAAGCACAAACAAAGCTATCAGAATGAATGAATTCCTAGTACACTGTCCAGCCAAGAACTGTGGTTTTATACTTCACACCCAAATGGGGAGAAAGTGGATAAGAATAGTGTCTAACTTTCCAAGCAATAAGCAATATTTTCAGAACTTGCCTCGTTTCAAAATTTGTTAGCAGGTAGTTTTGCACCAGACATCTGTCATTTTATATAATTATAAGTATCCATTGTCTTCATTTATATTTCCTTGGCCTGCCTCAGATGAGCATCAATAAAGGCAAAACTGCTGTTTGTGGTTGCCCACTTAAATATATGCAAAGCAGTATTAGAAATCTTTTTAGATGGTTCTACTTTCTAAAACAGTGATAGACCAAAAGAAATATTCATATATCTCATATTTTGTGTGACTTCTACATACTGTATTCTTACACTTAATACCACCTTAACCCTTAATGGTTTTCTTACAAGCTAGCATTTATTACAGGAAGAAATATAAAGTCATTTTATTTATTAAAATGTTGTGCTAAAAACAAAAGAAAAAAACATGCTTTGCATGTATGCATAGTAATAAAGGATTTATCATTGAAAGGAAAACAACAGACAATTTGACAATGGAAAAGGTGAGGAGAAAAAGAGGGTCTAAAGATATGAAAATTTGAAAGATGAGTTTAAAAAAATGCAGAAATATGTAACTGAATCAAGAGATTTAGAAAGACATAAATTGATTATTGGGAGTGGGGAAAGATGTGAACCGTATTTAATTAAAGAGATTGTTTTCTGATATCTTTCTGGAATACGACTCTTTGAAATCCTGTATGTCCCTTTGAAAGGACACAGACATAAAGGTTAGTGTAATCATGGTTGGGAAATGTAAAACTATGTCCCTGACATGGCTACCTGAAACCTGAAATGGTTGGGCAGTCATCTTCCTATTTTACTAATGTAAATGGATGGGCACGTATTGTAAGAAATGGATACATTAGATTGCTAGACACACATGATGCTCATGGGTAAGGCTATTGTGGACAAGAAGAACTGTGGAACCAGATTATCTGGTTACTGGTATGAGCTGACTGAGAGCACAAAGGGTGTTAGGAAAGAAGGTAAGGACAAATGCTATGTGATTTCAGGTACAAGAATCCCCCATGAATTTTATGTTCTGTGACATTAATAGTCGAAAGGAAAACATTTTAGATTTATAGTGAAATTTAAAAGCGTGCAGAATAGAAAATGATTATTATTTGTATATGTACAGTATGTACAGTGGACATAGCTGCATATAGAAGTGGTTTTGCTCTTACCTCACCATCAAATTCAAATCATATGCTTTTTTCCCTTGGATATTAGTATCTAAAGTGTTTCAAAGTTATACTGATACATTTCTAATTACAGCACATGTGAAAATACATTACTGTAAACCGTGTACGTCTACAGTCTACAACACAAGACAAACTGTGAGAGACAGTAAAAACATGTTTTGCTGTGTGGCAGATAAATCATTTAAATATACTACATTCTTAGGCACTGCTCTTCTTGATTCATATTCAAAGGCAGATGGGAAAAGCAGTTGCATTCATTAGGGTTTCATGTCCTGTTTTTGTGACTGTCTACTGTCCTCCATATTTATTATGGAGGTCCGTTATTAGAGGTTATCATTTGTCTACATTAAATGTCTCTCCACAAAATCAAATGTCTGAGAGTGAAGTCAAAATTAACTGGTCTAAGCTTTTAACACACTCATATTCCTTATCTGTTCCTGGTTATTTTAGCTGAAATGGAAGATGTGAGCTAGCTACTACATTCATAAATAATTAGCAAATGTCCTTTAAAAACACACAAAAGTGCACCCAAACGTCACCTCCTGGATATAAAAATAAACTGGATATAAATATTGGTGGGATTAGTAGAAGCAAAAGCAGAAAAGGTTTTTATATAAAAAAGAGAAATCAGATTTTGTGTCAGATGAATTAAGGAAACTGGGGATGCAAACCAACAATGCAAAGGTAGGGATCCACAAACTTGATTCAACATGATAATGTTGAATAATTAATATATTAACAGATTTGATTGTGCTGTTTAGAAAAGAGTCAGGCAATGTGTTGTTTTTTGCAGCCTCTAGGTTGCTTAAAGATTAAGTTAACCTGCTAAGTTAACTTAGAGTTTGTTATTTGAGGTAAGGAGAGTGAATTTTTTGTTAGTTGAACCATACACAGTGAATGAGAATTTGGTCCATGCCCTTCCTGAACCTCAGACATAACCCTCTCCAGTGGAAAACTAAAAGAAGACATTGACTGGAATTCCTCCATAGTTTACTTTTTTGGTTAAGCATTAACAATTAAACAATCTTCCATAGTCCCATTGAACTACCCTCAGGAAATGAGCAATTCTTGAATTCATACTAAAATGGCAACTTTCACAACTTTGTACCAAAAAATCAGCAGTTCTTCTATTAAAACAATATAAATTGAGGTTTTTTGCTAGCACAACAGCGTTTAGGATTGCATAAAACTTGTAAGGGAAATGCTAGAGGAGAAATGGAATCAGTGGAAAAAATACATATGCTGAAATGAAGAAGTTAATGCAAGTTTTACCTCAAAACATTACTTTGATGTTCTTTCTGTGACCGCTCGTACTACTGAAAAAATCTAGCAAATCTCACTTGTGGTACAGTATAATGTTTGAATTTGTTTAGAAGGCAACATGGCAACATGGAACAATGCTAATTGCTGTAACTGATCATTTCAGTAAGTGCTAGTGACCTTTATAAGAAAAAAATACCTTTACTAATTAAATCATTTTTTCCAAGCCATTAAATATTATGTGAATATTAGTAGCTTGGAATATTATTGACAGAAAATTGTACAGTATAAAACAAAACATCAAAAAAACTAAAGCTTGACAATTTTATGTCAGAGTCAGAGATTCAGGATGTAGGATACTTTAAGTTACTGAAAGATGGTAAATTGAAAAGA